AGAACTTAGCCAGAATTCTGGAAACAAAGCTGAGCCGTGGAACTCATGCAACGCCAATCAAGCAACTCTAAACTATTCTAATTTCTGGCAGTATAAGCGACAATTTTTTACATCAACGAGGGGAAGCAGAGAGTCTAGCACGTCAGACCTTTCAAAGCACTGATACATCTTCCGAGGACTGTTTGCAATTTTGAGCCTCCATAAGCGACTGTGATTGGAATTGCTCGATGGAGAGAAAGGGGAGGAGGAGTTTGAAGATGAGTTGCGCTGAGTGCAAAGGTACTCATTCTTAGAAAAAAAATACAGATCAAGTTAAGCAATGCACAGATAACACAAGGAATATACGGTGTAGCTGAAAGCAACTCACAGAGCAATACCAGTAACCTTCTTATTGTGTCAACGTTGCGTTCATATTTTTTTCAGCCTGTAGTTATTTAGGATCCAATGACTGATTGAAATTTTTAAATTTGAGTTTACACGTAGTGATAATTTTTCGTCAGCTATCAGATCAACCAAAGCGAAATGCATCAGACAGCATGGCCGCATGTTTCACATGCTTTGGCATGACCATACCAAAAGATCATGTTCTCCGAATTATTCACAGGTCAACGAACTGCCACCCTTTTTCGGCTGGTTGCACTGAAGCACAACAGGAGTGAGCTCACTGCTTGAAATAATTTGCAGTTAAGAAAAAGTTTACGCCAAACCACTGAGTTAGTATCCCTTCCGCTGCAAAGTTTCATGTACAGAGAAAGAGTAATTACAGAATACGTTTATATATTATTATGTAGGGCAGCGATTATAAATAAAAGGAACATCGTCGTTCGAAGAACAACAATCAAGGTACCACATAAATGTATAAACGTTGACAAACACAAGCGTCATGTGCAGAGGAAACATCGTGACCTTAAACACAGCCTTACCTTAATCAAATCAAGTTCTCATGCCGAAAAGCACAAAGAAGTTATCGAAATGCACGCTGAATCAGAACCATCAGCGAAAGTAGCTGTGGGTTCAAAGTAGCAGTAGTCATTTAGTCCAGAGAAAAGCTAAAACGTGAGAAAGGAAATTACCATTGCAGAGAAACTTTGTTGCGACTAGAAACAACGCAGCTGCCAACACTACACAAATGGCACGGAAAATAACCATTACTTGAATTTGAAGATGGTGTGGGACAAAGACTGCAACGTTTCTCCCGGGTTATTATTCGATAAATTTATATTTCGCGTTATGTTAGACAAACGCGCGTTATACTATTTCTGATAATACAAGAAGCTGTTGGAAAATGACGTCTCTACTAAACGTTACAAGCTCAAGGGCAGCTAGTCCTGGCCAGATCGTCTGCCTACCGTGTTTCAGAAGCAATAAAACGAGTATAAATAAGCGCGAAAGAAATGTGAATCTGTACAAGGAAGTGTTCAAACATTGTCTTCAAAAAATAAGAAGCCTCAGGATGAATGCATAGTAAAGGAGATTAGCACTGCACCATAAGACCACAAGTTTCAAGAGAAAATGGCAACAGAAACCACTAGTTATAGAAACGTGCAGACGGTGGACATTCCAAGCATTACATACTTTAACATTTTACACTTTCCTGTTATCAAAAGGAAAATAGGCAGTTACGTCAAATTTATCTTGAGCCTCTTGCAGCAGTTCATTCTGTTCGATGGAACCATCTGGTTGAGATTTGGCACAGATGATAGCTCTTGATAAATACAATATCCGTTGTTCGAGACCGATTCTCGTGCTAAACAAGCATATGACGTAACTTGAATAAAGTAAGAACGAGCGATACCTTTCTTTTTCAGCCAATACGATGAGTAACTGTGCAGCAGACATGCACTGACGGTTCTTCTCAAACAATTTCCATAACAAGTCCATGTACCGTTCGTTTGCCAGCGGATGGGCATGAATCTTGCGGTACAAGTACTGTTCGACAAACGGAGAGTTCACCTGCAATGTTGCCAAAGTTATACACTAATAACCAGATCAGAATCGTAACAAGTCATAATGATGAATAACAGAATGCAAAACCCAGCGGACTTCCAAGCGCATCTGGCCTATGGGCAATTCTGACTTTGGAAGCAATGTTGATCAAACCTGAATTGTGCAGCTAGGACCGGTAGATCTAAGCAATGCAAGGTGACAGAAAGTGCACTCAGCACTGACCTACTCGCAATGAAAAATCTCTATGAGTGCCATGTGCAGAAAGAGCAGGCTGATATTCATCATCCTAAGTTCAATAAGATGGAGTTTGCACGAGGGAAGACCGACTATTAATAATGCAGTTGATATCGCTGCCATAGCGGAACAATTGTTACTAAAATCAGCCGTAATAATGAGTAACAGTGAAACCATGCAGTTGGCGAACTCTTAGGATAACAACCTCTGCAAAAGTTGACGCAACAAAAATAAATAAATTTGGAGAAAAGTTAAAATCTAGCAGTTAGATTTGATTATGAGCATCATTTATCATATCTTTCAACCGTTCAGCCTGTGTCATGGGAATAACCTCTATTTCAAAGTAGATATCACATTCTAAAAGCTATATTTTCCGCTACACTGCAAACGCAGCGTGTATCCTCCTGATTTCTGCTCGCGTACAGTATTATTCATTTATCTGTTTCAGAAAAGTGAAAGGAGAAATATTCGGCTAGGATCGAAATGCCAATGTTATGATCACTAATTGCACTCTTGATATCGTAAAGAATTTTTGGGACCCATGAACAAATATCTGGACGCGTTCTTACTCAAACGTCAGAAAAATCTAAAAATAATGGCAGCAAAACAAGGTTATGCTCAAGCAAAGCCTGGTAAACTGCTGTAAAACATGAAAAGATACAAATCATTGGAACAATAATAGTAGCCATTCTTTATAGGGGGACATCTCAACAGAACAAACTGCCTACTGGCAAGAGAGAAGAGGTTCCGACCAAGTGTTTTCCCCTTCAACATTGGTCGAAACCGGCTTTCTAAGTCGACCTGATAGGGGAGAAAAATTCGGTCACCTTTTGGTAGCTTACAACACATTATAGAAGGAAGGTATATTCCACAGTCTTGCGAGCAATTATGTGCAAAAAGACTGAGACTCTCAACTGTTAGAGTCTTCAACTGACGTCTCAGAATCAGTTTCAGGAACAGTGTAAGTCGTTCAAGACTGATCAACAGCGGTCTATTGTAATGACCTGCGTTGGCGCCCACACGACTAAGCAACTATATCACGATATTCTAACAACAACCTGTCGTAAAGTCGAACATGCCGATGAGAGCAGAAGAACCCCAATTCGAAGGGGTCGAAGAATCGTTAACTAATACTCTCACGAAGCAGGAAATCTACTTTCAAGAATAGCGATAGCAAACTGCAACCAGATCTTAGCAAAACAGAAAAATGGGCATTCCATTCCATCTCCATCCATCCATCTCATCGCAATAGAAGGACCGCCGATACCGTGTCTTCGTGTCTTTCTGTGGCGAACGGTCTACCCATGACCGTAACCCAAAATATCTAATAGCGCTAGACTACAGCTTGCCATTCTGTGAATACCTGAAAGATGTTGCAAAACTAAACTAAGGCTAAGGCATAAGTCAACCTGTCAGAGACACCTAGACGAACTGACGCTA